GAGAAGTGTGATTTATGTAATGTACCTAAATTACTTTTAGAAGTAAGGCTGCGATGTTCTATACAATTCATTTTAGTTGAATAGTATAAATTTGATTCATCTTTTAAGATAACATTAAATCCACACCATCTAAATAAAAAACTCCAAACTACTTCAATGTCATTTTCAATGAGACATTTATGCTTAAGTAAGAGTCCCAATAATTAGCAGCGACAACAATAGCAGAGAGAGGAGTGTGATTTATATAATGTAACTAAATTACTTATAGAAGTAAAGTTACGATGTCCTATACAATTCATTTTTATTAAAAAGTATAAATTTGATATATCTTTTAAGATAATATTAAATCCACACCATCTAAATAAAATACTCGATACAAGTTACTTTAACTTTAATTCTACTAGTAAAGTTCAAAAACTTATATAAACGTGTTTCCTATATAAATGTACAATTACATTTGTCTCTCTATGAATTCAATCAGGCGGGCATAGGATACTGACGCAAGGGCACAATGGACCCCATCGTGTAAATATCGAGTGATGTTTGCAAACTTGGCTTGCTAGGGCCTCGGACTCGGCTCTGGCCTGAGCCATGAGAAAGTTTGAGGGGGTTTTATCGAGTCCTGTACAGGACAAAAAAACAAAAATAAAAATAAAAATCTGACAATTCAAAAGAAAGTTAAACCTTTTGTTAAAAATATTTAAAAATCACAAAAAAACAAAACCAGCAATATAAATCATTAAAATTCTATCGAAGTCCAAAAAAGTATACAAAAGATGGATTATGTGAAGATTTTAGTTTATACCTTGAAATATTCATAAAAATTAAAAAATGAAAAATATAGAAAATTAGAGAATGCAAGAAAAGTTCCCATATCATCATAGATGCTATATGATTCATTTAAAAATGTATTTCTAAAACATACATTTAAGACGTTTTTAACAAAAATTAGGACTTTTAACAATTTTGAGGTGGGGAGAGTTGGCACCTGGAACTTGAAGCTGAGCTACTTGGTCGAGTCCAAGTGGACTCGGCCAAGTCTTCAAAGGCGCCAAGTCTTCAAAGGCTACTCAAGGGTATTTACTCTATCTAGAATGTTGGGATCCCTTTCAAATTACGAGATAATGATTACAAAAAAAAATGTTTCAAATTACGAGATAAATATTTCTCAAAAAAATGTTGATTTTCATCAATGAATATTTACCAAAAAAAAATGAATTTTGAGTTTGTAAACTCCGGGATATAAGAATTCAAAATTTGGGTACCATTCCTTTTGAATTTATTTTTTCAGGTTGATGGGAGGAGGAGATTGCATCAACGTTTTGTCTTTTTTTGACAGATTTGGAGAATTCTTGTTAAAAAAAAAACCGTATCAAAATGTATAATTATCTTAAAGGAAAAACCCCATAGGACAAATGGACGTAAGAGTAAACTTTGGAAAGAACACTTAAATAAAAAGCTATGAAAAATAAAACAATAAAATGTGAGAATTCCAACAAATATCTCTTTTTGTTTCTTATGGGAAACGAAACCCAGAAATGGTACACTAGAAGGGCTCCTCTAATGCTGTATGCTTCGAAACGGCATTCTAAAGTTCTATAATGGAGTTTAAAACAAGAATTGAAAATTCAGTCATCTGGATTGATTGTCAATGCCATTGTAGATCCTGTAATATATCTTGATTCAGTTCTACGTTTTTATGAACTTTTTCTATTAAAATATTCAGGTAGCCTACTTAATAACCCTTGACATCAGCGCTCTTTTGCTCATACGTGAACCTTGTATCCCTATCCCGTGGGGGTAAAATCAAAGCTTATACGTAGCCTTGCACCCCATCACGTGATGCTTTTTAAAGTTAGTTCAACTTGGTTTATATGGCATTTCTTTCCACATTTCTTAGATGTGGAACAATTATTCATTGTGCACTGTATCACATGAAGATGTGATGATGTTGTGTTGTGTTGAATAAACTCCATCAAATATTAGGCTATCAGTGAACTAGGATATAAAGAAAAAGTATGTACTAGCATATAGGATATTAAAAAAGCAAAAAGTTTAATTGAACATTAAAAAAATTATTAGTTTATGGGATATTTTAAGAGAAAAAAATAATACTAGCTCATACCACTTTAGAATTTATTTTCAAGTTGCTTTATCAATTATCGCTCATTGAAGTATGAATTTATTTATATATTTTTCTGATTTTATTAAAATGTGATTGCAAATTTATGTTTCTACATTCTATATTTTTGTGCACACTAATTATCACACATTACATTTATTTATTTGTTAGGGTCAACCCTTGTTTTTTGTATCATATTTATTATAATATTATAACTACTAATTATATTGATAACCAAATTTTATATTTTATTTATTAATTTACGGGAAAAGTTTATATAAGGTTGTAACATTAAAATGTAGAATTACATATGCACATCAAAAATCCATCAGAAAAGGTTGTTTTAATGTTGAAAGACCCTCTAATTGATCATCTCGACATCGAGATGTATGAATGTGTTAAAAACAAGATTTTGGGTCACTGCATCTTGTAACAC